TTTTTTTTTTTTTTAATCACATATTTCTTATAGAGTGGTTAGTGGATTTGCACTACCTTTTTAGTTAGCAGCCAAGTGCTTTATCCAGTGTGCCACAAAAGCTCCTTAACTGGTTGTTGTGAAGTGCTATCGAGTCAGTTTCAAATCATTGCTACCCTGTATAGGGTTTCCAAGGAGCAGCTGCTGGGTTTGAGCCACTAACTTTGCAGTGAGCAGTCTAGTGCTGGGTATCCATAAAAACCCATTGCTGTTGAGTAGATTCTGACTCACAGTGACCCTAATGGATAAGGTGGACAGAGTGGACCTGCCCCATAAGATTTCTAAGGCTGTACTACCAGCTGTTCCATGGGACAAAGATGAGCCTTTCTGCTCCCATAAAGATTTACAGCCTTGGAAACCCTGTGCAGGGTCACTGAGTAGGAACCAACTCCATGGTACTTAGCAACAACAACAACAAACATTTATAGATGCAGAGTGCCACATCTTTCTCCCATGGATGAGCTGATGGGTTGGAACTCTTGACAATTTGTGGTTAACAGGTCAACACTTAACCACTGTGCCACCAAGACTCCTCTGACTGGTGGCTTGTTGTTGTTTGTTGTTAAGTGCTGTAGAGTCGGTTCTGATCCATAGTGACCCTATATAGGGTTTCCAAGGAGCAACTGGAGAACTTGAACTGTCGACCTTACAGATCAAACTGACTTTGCAGTCCAGCACATTAAGCCACAGTGCCATGCTGGTAAATCTGCCTAATTCTGGGTTTCCTATGCTGGCTGATTTGGCTCTATAGTAAGCTTCAATCATTCATTCACCTTATGTTTAATCAGTAACAGAGATGATAGTTTGTTGTCTACCTTGCAGCCCTTCTTTAATGCTTCAATTTGTTCAGAATTAGGATGGGATTTTTTTGGTATTAGAGGTTTCTTCCTGGTGGGCTGACAGGCTAAATCAGAACAATATAGAAACCTATCATAGGCACTACTAAAAATGCACACAACAAACTGGAAGTATGGAATGAGGATGCTAATGCCTTTGTATGTGGCACTGTAAAATAAGCACTGAACTGCTAACCATAAGGTTGGCAGTTCAAACCCACAATCGTACCTTGGAAACGCTATACAGGGTCGCTATGAGTCAGAACTGACTTGATGGCACTTAATGCCTCTGTATATTTGTAAATACATAGATGAAAGTTATAAGTGGATTACTCAAACAAAAGTAAATGAAAATAATAATTATGAAGATATTGTGGTGTTGTGTGCTGTCAAGTTGATTCCAACTCATAGTGGCCCCTGCACAGGAGTTCCGAAGCTGTAAATCTCTATGGGAGCAGAAAGCTTCATCTTTCTCCCATGGGGTGGCTGGTGGATTCAAACCACTAACCCTATGGTTAACAGTCTAATGCCTAACACCTGTATGACACCACACCTCCCAGTTATGAAGATAGAAAAGTAAAAATACCAAGTAGAAAACTAACTGGGAAAAATAATACAAATGAAATATAAGCCTTTTTATATCAGTCAATATAGTATGCCAAATTTAAATCTGGGGGTACACAGATTGGCTTAAAATGGAATCAAATTTAGAGTAAAAGTATAAGAAAACCAAACTATTTTCTCAGATAGGAGAAATAGTAACTTACCTCAGAACAGCCATGTGACTCTCTGCTTCTGTGTTCAAGGCTTAAATCGATTGTAAAAAAAGCATTTATTAAAATGGAATCAAACAATACACTTAAAGTATATCCAAATAATTTAAAACACAGTTGTCTGACTTCAATTTGAATAAAAATAATTACTCTAAATAATCTTTCCTTTGAATACTTTACAGTGCTTGACAATACAACATATCATTTGATTCCTTTTATTTTGCAAAAATCATCAATAATAGAATGTCAAAGGAGTGCTTTAGTTATAACAAATTTATAAATATGCATTACTCTTATTTACTTGAAATATCTTCTGAAATTAGCTTCTGAAAAGAATTCATTTTTTCAGGGCATTACTTAAAAAAATTAAATGCTTAATGAAATATGAAATTTTTAAATGTGAAAACATAATTACAAAGAAAATCCTTTTTCTAAAATCCTAGGTTTGTTCCCAGATTTTACTTTGTATGTCATGTGTGCAAATGACATATGACTCTAATTTAAAGAATATACAACCTGGATATTTTTTATTTTATTAATTAAAATTAAAAAAAAATCATAACAAGTTTTATCATGTTCTTTATACTGTGGATATTATTATCTCTTGTAATTAAAAGATACAAGTATAACTTTTATATAAAATTCACAAATGCAACCCCAATTCTGGACGTTGTAAGACTGGTGACAAATATACATGACTAATCAAAAACTAAGGAGCTCTGGTAGCATAGTGGTTACAAATCGGGCTGTGAACCTTAAGGTCAGCGGTTCGAAACTACCAGCTGCACCGCGGGAGAAAGATGAGGCTTTCTACTCCTGTAAAGATTTACACCCTTGGAAACCCTGTACAGGGTCGCTATGGGTCGGAACCGACTCGATGGCACTTAACAACAACAACAATCAAAAACTATGACTAGCCTGTGTTTTTTTCCCAAATGGGCTGAATGTTAAATACCAATAGCTAAAGTAAGTAACAGCTATTTAAATCATTCTGTTACATCCATATATTACAAACATTAAAATCTGAAATTCTACATAAAAACTTACCAAAATATTCCTGAGCAACCATCACATACAAATGGAAGAAAATCTAAAATTGAGGGAAAATATTATATATACAGGTTAGTCTGATTTAAATTTTATTTTCTTAAGCAAAAAGACTCTGAAAATACTACTCTATGGAAGAACTTTATTTTCGGACCAATAACCTAGGGTGTCTAGGTTAAACAAAGTCATCACAATATCAAATAGTCTAGAAGAAAGTAACTAAAAGCTTATTAAACAACATGAAGGTGGAAAACCAGTGAATGCTATTGCCTGCAGTTTAGGTATGTCGCACTGAAGAATCACAATGATCCTCAACACACAAAAAAATTTCCAAGCTGTTAAAGAATCGGCTCCACTGGCCAATGAAAATGTGAGAAGGATCTGTATCCGATATGGAGACATTGCTTAAGACTTGGATTGAAGACCAAACACAAAAGTGAATCCTTCTCAGCATGTTGACAATCACTGCTAAGCATGAAGCTTGTTTCAGATGCTTAAAGAAAAAATAGAAACAGAGCACAATATGGTGTCAGCACAACAACCAAATCACATCCTATTTCACAGAATGTGTCGAGGACGTTAAGTGCCACATGATTGTACTTAATTTTGAGAAAAATACCATGGTGACTGGATGGAGATGTTTTCAGATAATTCCAGAGATTCAATAAATGGATTAATACTTCAAAACTTATTCCTGAACTACTCTTTCCGTGATGATGAGGACCACTCCAACAACTAAATTAAGAAGTGAACTTCTGGAAAGCACATGAAAGTAACCATTCCCAGCTGTGGGACCTGACCATTATCACTTGATACAATCAGTCACTCTAAATTGTTTTCAAGGTACCTCATATTCAATAAAAGCATACATAACCAAGGGAGGCTGGATATATCTAATCACTTCTCCTATGAAGTAAAAATAGAAGGCATTGTTCAGCCGCTGTATAATGAGCAACTGCCCCAGAAAGATCTCAACTTACAGTGTATCTTAACCCAAAATAGAAAGAAGGAATTCTAGTGCAACCCAAGGAAACCCCAGATAATTCTGCTTATCGGAGAAGAGGGACTGATGACAGTTTTTCCTTCACATAAAGTGGGTCTGATGAACTGTCCCTGTTGTTTCTAAGCATGAGTTTATGAGCTTTTGTTTCATACCAAGAGATGTCAATAAGAGAAAAAAACTATGTGATCATCTGAAAAAATGTTCATATCTCATTTAAACTGGAAACACTGTACATGCCTGTTATATGGATGCTTTTGGTGACCAAGTAAATTATAGAGGCAAATCAGGAGGGAGAGTTATGATCAAGATAATGTCTTGGCATCTGACATCCTCCTCCTATCCATGCAGAAGCTAAATAAAATTTAGTTCGTCCATTTAACATACTCTAAAAATCTAACCTTTCTCTACTAGTTCAAAAGGCCTACAGACCTGCCTTCACCTCAGACACTGACATCTGCAGACAGAAAGAAAAATGAACTAGGTCACAGAAGTAATGTTAAGTGCACTGGACTCATTAGGGAGAATTGGGCACACCAGAATGAATTTTCATATGAAAGGTCTGCAAGGAAACATAGGATATCTGTTGCATGACTGGGGATTGCAGCCAGTGGTGAAAGATACAGAGTGCTATAAATAACAAAAGTAGCCGTGGTGCCACAAGAATTAAGCTCTCAGCCCTGAACCAGGAAGTGTGTTGTTGGTACCCACCAGCTGCTCAGTTGGAGAAAAAGCCTGGCAATCTGCTGCAGTAAACACTACAGCCTAGGAAAGCCTATGGGCTGTTCCACTGTCATACAGAATTGCTATGAGGTGGAATCATAAACTGGACAGCATACAAGAAGGTAAGTAACAAGAGCCTACCAGGGAGTGTGTCAACAAGGATCACTAAACACTCCTGACATTTCTACTAAATCTGGGCTAAACTTCAGAGTCCTTCTCAACAGAGTGATATAGACACCCACTACGAATGGCTGCTAACCTCAAGGTCAGCAGTTCAAAACGACCAGCTGTTACGCAGCAGACAGTTGAGGTTTTCTGCTCCCATAAGGATTTACAGCCTCGGAAACCCTGTGCAGGGTTGCTGAGTGGGAATCGACTCCATGGCACATAACATAGGCTGGCAAACAGGTCTCATATCCCATAGTAGCTCAGTCCTTTGTGGTGGTGGTGGTGGTGTGCCGTGGAGTCGGTTCCGACACATAGCAACCCTGTACAGGGTTTCCGAGGCTATAAATCTTTACGGGAGCAGAAAGCCTCATCTGTCTCCCGTGGAACAGCTGGTAGTTTCGAGCTGCTCACCCTGAGGTTAGCAGCCCGATTCGTAACCACTACGTTACCAGAGCTCCTTGCCTATGTAGTGGTGTGCTGTAATGTAACCTCCGGCTCATTGTTGTTGTTGCTGTTAAGTGCCGTTAAGTCGACCCTGTAGAGGGTTTCCGAAGAGCGGCTGGTGAGCTTGAACCGCCGACCTTGCAGTTCAAACGGCTTTGCAGTCTGGAGCATTAACCCACAGCGCCACACCAGGACTCCTGGCTCTGGCTCATAGTGACCCTATATAGTCTGATAGCCAGCGATAGCTTCGCACAGGAACAGAAAGGGTCACCAGGAATCGGAACCGAATAGATGGCATTTAACAACGTTCTTAGGAAACGCCTATCGAGTCACAGATAATCGAATTAATGAAAGTCAGAGTCCAGAGAATAGTTTGAGGAGATGAAAAGTGCTTTCTCAAGATCACAGAGGGAGGGCCGGAGTGGAACCCAAATCTCCCAGCTCCCAGACCTAAAAGACTTCCCTCAAGCAGAGAGCAGGAAGCGCCCTGGGCGACCCAGGACCTGCGTGCGCTCCTCCGCGGACTTATCCCGCAAGCCGCACTAGAAGTCAGAGCGACTGTTGCAAAGCATGTGTTCAGGAAATGCATGATTCCATCCCAAATAGATCACAAGTCTCCTCCAAAGGCTCAGAGGGGACATAAAAAAACCCCAACACATCCCTGCAAACCTAGGGACACACGCCCGCCCGCCCCGCCTACTCAGATCCTGCCCCAGTCTCCGCGGCCTCCTCTCAGCCTCCACCACTTTCCGCCGAAGCAGTGTGGTCCGAGTCTCCTGCGGTCCGGGGCTAGGGACCTCCTGATCACCTCGTTGCCTGCAATGCTCCACCTGACAGTGTCGCCCGATGTCCAACTCCGCCATCTGCCTATAGATGCTAGGGGCGGGGCGAAGTCAGAGGGGCGGGGCGCCGGTGACGTCGCGCGCGGTGCCTGCTGGGATCGTGCAGATCAGGAGGCGGAGCTCGCAGGTTTGGTAGGCGCGGAGGTGTGACTCGCCTTTTGAGGGTGCTATCAAATCTGGTCACCTAATCAGTTCCCTTTCTGGAAAATTGCATGCTATAACCAAAATCGGTAGCGCAGTGGTTACGAATCGGGCTGCTAACCTCAAGATTGGCAGCTCGAAACTTACGAGCCGTTCCACGGGAGAAAGATGAGGCTTTCTGCTCCCATAAAGATTTACAGCCTCGAAAACCTTCTGTAGGGTCACTATGAGTCGGAGCCTACTCAACGGTACTTAACAACAACAACCCAAATCGGGAATGGTATTAAAAGGATTTCTATTTTTTGATTAGTGTAATTCCAGGAACAAATTTTCTATCTTTGTTTCATGCCTGATGAATAAAATTGTGATCACAATCTAATCACCTGAAAGAGTAATGCTCCAACCTGGAGAATGAACAAATTTGTCATGGAAGAAGTACAGTCAGAACGGTCCTGAGAAGCAAGGGTAGTGAAACTGTTTTGCTTACTACTTTGAACGTTTGCTCAGGAGGGACCACTCCTTGAAGAAAGGCATTTTGCTTGGTAAATGAAAAAAGAAGACTCTCAATGACATGGATTGACAGGATGGGTGCAACAGTGGTTTCAAACACAGGAAAATTGGGGGGAGAGCGCCGCACCACATAATGTTTTGACACCAAACAAGAGCAACAACAGGAACAAATACAATGTTTGACACATTGTTGCAAGAATCAGTGGAAGAGATGAGCACTAGTCCCAATTTATGATTCAACCTAAACAATGTTACTTGAATACAGAGTTTAAAATAAATTCCCTTTCAAGAGAGTCATTAGGATTTCTTTAAAAGCAAAGACATCGTTCTTTTCTTTTTGGTTAATTCTGGTAGAAAATATTTTAAAGTTTCCAACTTGAAAGATCCCAGGTGCATCCTGAATTGGTTTAGAAAACCCATACTTAACACAAGTATCTGAAGAATGTTCATGGTGATGCCACCAGAGTGGAAGAAGTGTCACATGCTTGCTGAGCCTCTTCAGAAGTTGAGGAAGGACAGACTTTTCTAGGTGGGGTACAAATGGATGCCATTCTACTGAGGAGACACCAGATACCACTCAGAGAGGATGAGAGACAATCAATTGCGTTCATTGCAGAAACTGGAGAAGTAGCTAATGCCTTGTATACAACTTTGTTGGTGTTGTTTTTAAGTGCCATCGAGTTGGTTCCTACTCATAGTGAACCTGTATAGGGTTTCGGAGTTGCGGCTGGTAAACTTGAAACGCTGACCATGTGCTTCAAACCGGTTTTGTAATCCAGAGCATTAATCCACAGCGCCACACCAGGACTCCGTTTATAATTTTGAGAATTCCCAAATTCCTTGAGGATGTGGAAGGTGTGGAGTTACCAAACGGGCATCATTGTTTTAGGATTTACTCTTCTGGTGTGGCGCTATGGGATAATGCACTGGGCTGCAAAGTCGGTTTGACCCTCAAGATCGGCGGTTCAAGCTCACCAGCCGCAACTTGAAACTCTATACAGCGTCGCTATGGGTCGGAACAGACTCAACGGCACTTAACCACCATCAACAAACTCATGTTGTTAAGTAGGGAGTCCTGGTGTGGCGTTGTAGGACAATTCCAAGTCCTGGTGTGGTGCTGTGGGATAAAACACTGTACTGCAAGGTCGGTTTGAACCATGAGGTCGGTGTTCAAACTCATCAGCCTTCCCTTGGAAAGCCTATTTAAGGTCACTCTGAGTCACAACCGACTCGATGTCACTTGGAAACAACAACAACATTTCTTAGTCTGGAGTCCTGGTGTGGCGCTGTAGGATAAACACAACACAAGGTTGGTTTGAACATCAAGGTCAGCAGTTCAAACTCACCAGCTACTTCCCAGAAACCCTACACAGGGTCACTATGGGTCGGAACCATATAGATGGCATTTAACAACAACATTCTTAGTCTGATACAGAATTGAGTAAGACATGGTCTCTGAGTCAAAGGAGCTGGAAGCCTGGGGAGGAATGCGCTGTTTAGCATTTAAAAGTCCTTCATAATCTTGGCCCCTTTTTCTCATGGTGACCCCTGTGTGTAGAAGCGCTCCACAGGAAACATTGCTAGGCTTATCTCCCAAGAAACCTCTGGGTGGGTTTGAACCACCAACTCTTCAGCTAGTAATTAAGCACTTAACCATTTGTACCACCTAGAGGAGATGAAAACTAACAATAATAACAAACACTGTTCTTTCACTCTAGGCCTCCGTCACACTCCAGGTTCCCTGAGCACATGCTGTTCCTTTATGTGGGACACATCCCCCTCCCCGTTTGCTTTAGTTCATTTCTGCATTTTCTTTATCATTTAGCTATTGATAAGGATTTCCATTGGTTTCCTATGATTTATAAGATTCCTCAACTTCCTCAATAAGGCTTTTCAGTCGAATCTCAACTTTACTCTCTAACCTTATCAATAACGTTTGCTCAGGCTGCATTCACTAGGTCCCGCTGAACTTAGCATTACTCAGAAACTTCTTCTGTGTTCTCCTTGACCCGGACAAATTTGCTGTTACTGCACTAACTTGCTATATCTTTTTCAAAACATCTGTTCAAAATGCAAATTTGCATTTGTTTCTATCCATCTTTAATATTTGTCTCACCAACGAAACTGTAAGTTTCATGAGGGCAAGAACTGCATCTGTTTTTTGCTATCTATTGTACTATAATTACTCTGGGTCTACTTTTCAGATGTTCAACAAATATTTATTGAATTAGTACATTTTAAAAATTCATAATTTTCCTAAGCACCCATCAAGTTGAATTACTGTAGGTTTTCTATACCTGCCACTGTTTTCCTCAACCTTATGTCTTTATGTTGTTTTCTCTGCCATACAATGTCCTTTTACACATTTGTACAAATTAAGGTGCTACTAATTTTTGAGCCCAAATTAAAATTTTGTCTTCTCCTAGGGTTTTCCTTTATTCGTCCAACTATAAAGGAGTTACTTCGCCTCATGGACTCCCATTATATTTTATTGCCATTACTCTATTAAACTTAGTTGTTTCTAACTCTTACTATAACTATTCCTTTGCATCTCCTCTCCCTTACTGGGCTATAAACTCTCTGATGGCTGGGTTAATGTTTTATTTAACCTTGTATATTCTTCTAATCTATTATGATGTCATTAGGTCTCATATAGATGTTTAATATAAATTTATAAAATAACTGACTATAATTTATATTTTTGTTTCATAGCACATGAGCCAGAGTAATTTCCCAAACTTTTAGAATGAAAATGTGATCACAATCTAATCACCTATAATAATAATGTTCCTACATATCTGAGGGAATATGAACACAAGAGAGATTTACAAGAATGCTTATTGCAGAACTTTTTGTTATAGCCCAAGCTGAAAATAAACCAAATGCTCATCTGTAGTAGCAAAGGCAATCAAATGATGATATGGTCAAACAATGTCATATTTTACCACTAAGAAAATGAATGGACATTCACTGATGAATCTTAAAAAATACAATACTGTGTGGGGAAAAAAACCCAAAACACAGAAGAGTTCATACCATATCATTTAATCTATAGAGCCCCAAAAAGGCAGAACTAATTATATTATTTAGGCATCTGTACATCCTAGAGTCCTGGTGTGGTACTGTAGAATAAGCACTGCGCTGATAATCACTAAGTCGGTGGTTCAAACCCACCAGCTGCTCTTTGGAAAACCTATGCCTGGCCTCTGTGATTCAGAACAGACTCAGCAGCATTTAACACTAGCATGCAAACTGGTGTAACAATAAAGAAAACCAAGAAAAAATAGCTTCCATGATACTTAGAAGAGTGTCGACCTGAGGAGGTAATAACGAGGGTCTTCTTAACCTACAAGGGACACGTGGGATGTTACTGAGGGATTCTGTGATGTGGGCAACAGCCTGTTCTGTGACCTGAGATATTTGCTCTATCCTCTGTTAATCTGCCATGGCACATAACCACCAACCACCACCACCATATGTTTATGTATTTTTTGGTAAATTTTAACTGTTTTTCAATAAAACATTTATTTAAAGGTAATGTACTAAAGAATAGGAAATTATTCTATTTAAAGATGTGGCACAATTTGACACAACACGAGGAAATTAAATTTTTCTTCACCTTGAAACACAAGGTCAGCAGTTCAAACTCACCAGCCACTCCTCAGAAATCCTATGTGGGTCGCTATGAATCAGAACCAACTCAGTGGCACTCAACAACAAAAACAACCATGCTATAGTATTTTTCAAAACTCACTAATGACATCTGCTTCTTGTACTGAGGTCCTAGTCTGCTTCTGAACTGGTTACAATTGGAATTAGATTCAGCTTAGATTTGACTGAAAATTTTAACCCAATAAAAATCTCAATTTCCTGCATGTCTGTGAGAATGAGTGTGAACGATTATTTCTTTAAGTCCCTCAGTTTTGGGGTGGTTTCTTATATAGAATCATCATGGTAGTAAGTGACTCATATATCAGGAATAAATAAAACTACTAAAAAGTTGTATTTCAAAATTCACATGATAAAATGATTTCTCTTTTCTGAATGTCAGTGTACCTTGCATGCTATATTCTGAGTCATGTCTAGAACATTTCCAAATCAAACTTTAATCATACCAGATAGCATCTTTAGAATGCTTATTATGTGCCAGGCACTTAAATGGATTATTTAATTTAATCTTCATAACAAGACCTTAAGACAGATACTATTTATGATTGCCAATCACCACCCTGCTCTTCTGATCTCATGGCAAAGAAGGCAGTTATTCATGAAGACTATTAGCCACCCATTCATAGTCTCCTCTTCCTGAGTCTTCTTTCTCTGTTGATCCAGAAGAACAGAGACCAGTTGTTTTACCTTGAATTGCCTTT